GACCCTATGAACAGCATATCTGAATCTTGCTCTACCCTGTGCTGTCCTTTATACCTACAATATGCTTAGGCTATTGTTACAGTCACTGTGTCAATCTATCTTGTGGGTTTTTCAAAGATCACTCATAAGTCGAAGGAGTTGCCTTTTTATTTCTAGTTGTTGGGTAATTTTATCATTAAAGGCTGTCTGATTTTGTAAAAAAAAAAAACAACAAACAACAGTTTAACAATATTGCGAAAACTTTAGCCAGACTCACAACAAGAAAACGGAGTGGGACTATTATCCAATGTTATAGAAATTAAAGGATAACAGGAAATACTGTACATCAATGAATGAGAAAGATGATATGGACAACATTCCTAAAAGTAGACAAATTCCCAAACCCAGTTTAAAGAAGTAGACAACATGAATAAACCTGCAACAATAAACAAAATTACTTAAAAATAGAAAAATAATTTCAAAGTATCTAAATAATTTTGTTATATTTTTTAAATATCATCAGCATAGTAATTTCTCTTTTTAAACAAAGCACTCACTTATTGTCACTCGTCTTTATATACACCAAACTGTTTCCCCCTCACCAAACTTACCCGTAATAAATTTCATTCAGATTTACAAAAAGAGTGCAATAGAACCATTGAAATAAATGTTAGACCTTATTCTACTTTTTAAAATAGTCCATGAATTAAAAACAATAATTTCCGAGTTTGCACAAAGGTTTTACTCGATGTTATATAATATCTAAAGGGGTTTTTTTTCCATTAAGGATTGTCAGTCATCTCTTTCTGTGATTATTACACAGATCTCATGTCATCCGGGGCCTTGTCACGTCACTGCGGGCCTTCCCTCTGCAGCATTCTGTTGGGACTCTGTGCGTCTTTATCTTGGGAATTGAAGTGTTGGTGAGTAACCCACCACATTACAGCACTTTCAGGGATCCTGTGTTGTGTGTGTAAGTGGCTAAATGACCTCGTTTCATTTCTCCTTTGGGATGCATTCCTAGGTTCTCAGTTTCTTCTACCGCTATATGCTTACAGCTGGACTTATCGCATTTGCTGGCTGGCCATTTGTCACTCAGCTGTGGACTCGAACCAAGGTATAAATCCCAGTTTTGTCACAGGAGGGACATGTATCTATTCTGTTTGGATTTGGGTTTGCTGGTGGTGGTGTTAAGTGCCCTCAAATCGACTTTAACCCATAGTGACCTAATGAACAACAGACCTGCACTCTGCCCTGTCCTGTGCCATCCCATCATCTCTGACACACTCGAGCCCAGCACTACAGTCTGTGTTAATCCCTCCTATTGAGGCTCTTCTCCTTTGCTGGCCCTTCACCGTTCCAAGCATGATGTCTTTTCCCAAGGACTGGCACCTCAGAACATGCTCAATGTATGTGAGATGAATTTTTACTATTTTTGTCTCTAAGGAGCACCCTGGCTGCACCTTTTCCAAGACTCGCTTGTTTGTCTTTTTGGCCATTGTGAAAATGAAGTGAAGTCATGTTCCCTTCTTTCTAGTACCTCACTAGGGTATGACTCACCCACAGAGCCCATTGTCCTCCCTGGAGTCCCAGATGGCTGGTCACCCGCCCTCCACTGGGTTTCCAAGGCCATCAATTTCAGAGGAGATTTCCCATGTCTCCTGAGAAGCCACTGGTGGATTTGCACCTGCAGACACGTGTGACTTTTGGATTAACATACATGCCCTGTGGACTACGCCACCAGTGGCACAGTGGGTAAAACATCTAAGTAGGAACCAGAACATTTGAGTCTTCTGTTCTTGGCCAACTGTTAAAGCTCACATGTGTTGGAGCTCTGCTGACCTCGTCCCAGCGATAGGGAGCTGAGCCCCCGACTGGAACCCACCAGCAAGCAGCTCCTTGGCAGAAAGATGGGCCATCTCTCCTCCTCGCAGGTGACATTCAGCCTCCAAAACTCAGTGCATGGTCAGCGGAGACTTAGTTCCGACTTGTCATCAATGAACTCCCATGTGTCTCTCACCTATAATTAGTAACTATATTTATTTTTTTCAAGTCAGGAGTTGCAAGGTTTGGCATTTCCCTTAGACTTTCACAATTATGTAGTCTGTGAGATTCTTTACTATGTTTATCTAAAGCTGATTTTCCCCCCTCTGTCTTAGATCTCTTCACTGAGCTGGACTTTCTTCTCCATTCTTCTGTCGCTGTTCCCTTTGATGCCTGCTGTGAAACAGAAGTCAGACACCACTTTCGTGTATGAACAGTATTTCAGTTTATTTAACCTTTAAATACGGTTGCTTTTCTTAACACTATGAAGCAGAAACTAATTTTGATCAGAAATTTAAAATCACTTGAAGCAATGGGAAATTAAAATACTAATATAAAGCCATTCATCTTTCACTCTACTGGTTTTTTATCTTAGCTCTGAGCATTAAGACACTGGTGTCATGGTGTGTGGACCGTAACTGATTGCTAACTGATAGGCCGGCAGTTTGTCCACAAGTCACAATGTGAGCGGAAGCTTGGCAGGATCCTGTCATGATGGCTTAAGCCTCAGAAGCCCAGTGGAGGGTCACCAAGCGTCACAGCCCACCTGACAGCCTTGGGTGTTTGTTTCTGGAGAAGCTTCCAGGCATGTGCAAGCAGGGACCTTGTGCCAACCAGTGTACCACCCAGGGGTAACTAAACAAACACACTTCATAATGCTTTACATTTCTTGCAGAAAAATTTCATTATATTATAAACATCTGAAAGGCATTGTTGCAGCCCTTTCTGTTGGGAACATGTCTGTACTTCCTCCTACATTGTTTTCTCTTGCTGCCCTTCTGAGCTTTGTCTCTGAGCAAATGTTGCCTTTGTGATTTTTTTAATAACATTTTTATATTGTAATGATTTCTTACAAAGTTCATACACATTGTTTTTCACATCGGATCTTGTGTGACCCTGTAATTAACCCCCTGCCTCACCCCTCTGCTCCCCCACCATTGGATCCTTATACACATTCTACGATAACGGTCTTATACAGTATTTGTCCTTATGGGATGGAGTTAATTCACTTAGCTTAATACTCATGGTGCTCCCAAGTTAGGTAGTGACTTAGAAAATCATTGCTCCTGCGTGCTGTGTAGTATTCCATTTGCAATAACATTTCAGACAAAGGTCGCATATCTGAAATCTTTGTGAGTTTTGTATGTTTGATTGTTGTAGGAGGTGAGTAGAGAGGCCCTCCCAGGGTTGTTGTTGTTGTTCGCTTTATAGGCCTGTCTGTTGTTTCGCTGAAAGTTGAGTCACAGGCTAGGTAAGTTCAGTTTCAGGCTTGAAGGGTCATAGACTCAGGGTTTGTACTCTTGCTTTGCATTTTGTTGTTGTCGTCGTGTACTGTCAAGTCAGAACTGACCCGTAGCTGACCCTCTGGCCGTTCATCCCTCGGGAGGAGATTGCTCATCTTTACTTCGCGGAGCAACTGGTGGCCTTGAACCACATGCCTTCGGGATTGCAGCATAGCTTCTTGCCACTAGGCCACCAGAACTCTGCTTTATGTGAAACTTTAAGGATGAATGTGAAGGTGAAAAGAAAATTGCATGTAACGTTGTTGTAACTCTCCTGATTTCCCAAATGTATTTAAAATATAAATTTATCACAAAGAAACAAAAGAAAGACGTGATTAAGGAAATAAAGATCATATCAAGCGAAGAATTGATCATACATCCTTATTTTGAATGGTTTGATGATTACATAATATGAAGATATAATTGCATTTCTCCCCGTTATGACTCTCAGAGTATTGGAAGAATCCACAGAGATGAGCTTTCTCAAGGGGGTTCTTTCTTCGAATTCTCCCTTTTTATTCCACTCTGCCCTCTGCTTTCTTGTCTTTCTCTTTTCTATGAACTAACTCCTTTCCTCTTAATTCTGTGAATTGTTGGGTTCAGGAGTCTGTCCTTAACATACTTTGTCTTGCATTATTCAGATTTTTATGAGGTAATAAATGAACTCTAACAATAGTACCTTGCTTCCTTGAAATAAATGGGTCTTCTTTAACTTCCTGAGCTGTATGTGGCTTGGCATTCCTGAAAGCACGTGTTTTGTTATTACCTGACTGTGGTACTGTACAGGTACTTCTTCACCTGCCCTCGGGCTGAGAGGCTGATTGTCAAGCTCTGTCCAGACCCTGCCCTCCTTTCATCTCAGGCTCAAGGCCAGTGAGAAAAGAAGGCACCTGTGCCTCCTTCTAGAAAGAATATCAATTATTCATATAGAGACTTCCCCTCCTCCCAAAATGTTAAGGCTTTATTTCTAAAGAGCCCTTTTGTAATTATAAGTACTTACAATCACAAAATATATTTAGAAACTGATAACATTATTCTCTAGAAATTTGTCCAAGCCAGGCTCCCCACACAAAAAAAATTTAAAAAAAAATTATAGAATGAAATCTAAAGATATTTCTAAAATTACTGCTGTTATGTTTGCTTATTTTCAATGTGACATAAATAAGCCTACAAAATAGTTGATTACATTTGTTTGGAAGTAATTTTATCTTTATTATGATAATTAATAAATTACCTTATCCCAGTAGAATCTTTATCATCAGTTTTTTAAAATTTCTGTTATGGCTATGTGTCCATTTTGCGACTTCATCTAGATGAAATCAAATGAGAGATACTACATTCAATTCAAGTCCCTCATATATTCCTATGTTATGTCTCTAAGGAGTATCTTAAGGAACATTTGTTCTATTGTGTCTTGCGACAGAATGTTTGCAGGCTTCCTGGTTCTTCTGCTGTCACTGTTTTTCATAGCATCTGTCACAGAAAGAAAAGAGAAATTTGTAAAGGAAAAGCTGTTGCTATATCCATTACAGGTGAGTTACAGGTATTTCTTATGTGATGGCGTCCTAATGGCACTCTTCAATATAACTTTATAAGCTACTCAGTTCCTGGTCTCTGAGAAGATCATTTTATGTTTAAGGTATGAAATAAGGAGGATATTAACAAATAAATACATTCTGTAAAATAAATTACACAGCAAAAATGTTAAGAGGAGATACCAAAGGTCCCCTTACGGAACAGAGTTAAGGAGAGACCTACACGAAGTCTTATCTGATCAAAAGTTCTTTAGGTTGTGCTGGGAGAAGTTCCTCCAGGTTATATGTAACCTGAATTATTCTGTCACCTGTGTGAGAGGTTCATCAGTTAAGGCTCCCTGAAGTAAAAATTACCTCTCAAGAGTACTGAAGAGCAATGATGTCAGGCTGGAGACTAAGGTGCGCCTGACCCAGGCTATAGTCTTCGCAATTATGTGCTATGCATCAGAGAGTTGGACAGTGAATAGGGTTGATAGAAAGAAGATTGATGCCTTTGAGCTGTGGTGCTGGAGACGAGTGTTGAATATACCATGGACTGCTAGGAGAACAAGCAGGTTTGTCCTGGAAAGGGTGAAGCCAGAGTGTTCCCTGGAGTCAAGGATTCTGAAGTTTCATCTGACGTATTTTGGGCATGTTGCAAGGAGGGACTGATCCTTGGAGAGGGACATCATGTTTGGCAGAGTGGAGGGGCGGCAAAGGAGAGGAAGATCTTTGATGAGATGGATCGATTCTGTGACTGGAGTGGTGGGAATAAGTGCGTTTGAGATGGCTAGGTTGGCACAGGATAGAACAGCATTTAGAGCTCTTGTACATAGGGTCGCTATGAGTCGCAAGCAACTCAATGGCACATAACAACAACAACATTAAGTCCCATTGAGTTGAGTACGACTAATAGTGACATTATGAACAACAGACTGTCCCCTGCCCTATCGTGTGCCATCCTCCTCATGTCGGACTCTCTTGAGCCTATTGCTGCAGACACTGTGTCGATCCATCTCATTGGGGGTCTTCTTCTCTTTCACTGACGCTCCACCTTTCCAAGCTTGATGTCTCTTTCCAAGGAATAGCCTCTCCTAGCAACAAGCCCAAAGTCTGTAAAATGAAGCTTCACCATCCTTGCTTCCAATGAGCATTTTGGCTGCACTTCTACCAAGACATACTTGTTTGTTCTTTTGGCAAGCCATTAGATATTTGGTACTCTTCTCCAACAGCACAATTCAAAGGCATCCATTCTTCTGTCATCTTTACTAGTAGTCCAGCTCTCAGAGGCATAGCAAGGGATTGAAAAGACCATGGCCTCAATCAGGTACATTTTAGTTTTCACTAAGAAAGTTTCCTGTAGGTGTTTTTATATGGAAAAATAACCAGTTCAAGACTCTAGACCTAGATGATATTCTAGGAGAAAAGTGTGGGTGTAGTAGAAAGAACTTTGAACTTGTTGTACCAAAGTTAAATTGTTTTTCTTGCCATGCAGCGTACTAGCTATGTGATGTAATAATTTAGGTTTTTATGTATTTATTTTTCAGCCTGTAGAAATAATATTACATTGGGTTAGGAGACTTAAAAGAGAGAACAAAATGTAAAGTCTGTGAATCGATTTTTTTTTAAAGTTTTTTTTTTCCTTGTCAAACAAAGCCCAAAAGAACATTTTTAGAACACAAGGAGTTCTGGTGGCTAAGTGGTAAGGAGCTGCCCTGCTGACCCAAAGGCATACAGTGTGAGCCCACCAGCGCCTACAAGGTGGAAAGATGGGCAGTCTCCTTCTGTGTGATTTAATGCTTCTGAAAACTTCTGGAGTGTCAGCTATGAGTTGGTTTTGAGTCAACAGTCCATAACAACATGAGAATTTTTTTCCTTCAGAAGTTGTTTTAGTACCTAACTGGAAAGTTAGAAAGTATCCTAAGAGACTACGGAAAAGGATTTAACTCCAGATAGGTGATGTTGTTATTAGGTGCTGTTGAGTCGAGTATGACTCATAGTGACCCTACGAACAAAAGATCTTAAACCTGTTCTGTCCTGCACCATCCTCACACTTCCTGACACACAAGAGCCCATTGCAGCAATCACCGTGTCAGTCCACCTAGTTGAGGGTCTTCTTCTCCTTCAGCGACTCTCCACCCTTCTCAGCATCATGTCCTTCTCCAAGGAATAGCGCCCCCTAGCAATATGTCCAAAGAATGTGAGGCGAAGCCTCACCATATCTGTTTGTTCTCTTGGTTGTCCATGGGATGTTCAGCACTCTTCTCCAAGACCGCAGCTCAAAGGCGTCTTTCCCTGTCATCCTTATTCATTGTCCAGCTCTCAGATGCATAACAAATGACTAGAAAGACCATGGCCTGAATCAGACACACCTTAGTCCTCAAACTGACATCATTACTTATCAATAGTTTGGAGAATTCCCTAACTGCAGATTTTCCCAGTGCAATGCATCTCCTTATTTCCTTACTGCTGGTACCAAGGATGTTAATTGTAGATACAAGCAAGATGAAGATGTTGGCAGTCTCAGTCTCCTCTCCATCCATCTTGATGCTGCCCATTGATCAGTGCTAAGAATCTTTGTTTTCTTGATATTGAGATGCAATCCATACAAGGGACATTCTGAGGTCACAAGTATTTGCTGATTTGGAAAAAAAAAAGTTTTGCAGACAGTGAGGTGGGTCAAGGCTGCTTCACTTCTCCAATCCCAAGGCATTTGTGATCATCCATTTCTGCCTTGAGAACTTGGAGGGATTACATCTAAATAGAAACAGTGTGCTAATGCATGCCAAACAAAGTCTTGGAAGTAAGTATACAGTGGATCATTTAGTGCTTGCAAAGGGGGACCTTTGCTTGGTCCGAGAGTACCAACTCATTTAATGCTTGCAAAGGGGGACCTTTGCTTGCTCTGAAAGTACTAACACACATTTGGCTGCTGTTTTGAGTCATTCCATTTTTAGTGGGTCTCTGGCCAGATTCCATTTGTTTACCGCAACGTTCTAGGCTTTCTCTCCCCGTGTATGAGTCAACTTCATGACCTGTTGCTGCCTTTGCCTCTGTGTTCAGCTGCTGAGCCCGGTGCTCTCTATGCTGGTTGTGTCCAGCACCCATCACAGTCTGCTCAGGAAGCAAGGACTGCCGCTCTGCAATCAGGTCGTTAGCTGGACCCTGCTGGGTGAGTGACCCTTCACACCAAAGGCAGTAACTCTACACCATGCATTTTCCCGGACGGTTGCAACATCTCTCCCACTGCTGCTGAGTCAATGTTGAGTTGATTCTGACTCATTGTGATCCTCCCTCGGGTTTCTGATGCTTAATCAGAGGAGACTGCCCGTTATTCTCCTGAGAAACCCTGGGTGGGTCTGAGGCCTCACAGCCTCTTAGTGGTGCAACACACTTCCACCTATGAGCGACCAGAGCACATTGAACCTAATGGGGCAAAAATTGTTCTTGGGACGCGGTGGAATACTATGCAGCACGCAGGAGCAATATCTTTGTAACTTATTACCTAACTTGGGAGGGACTGCAGAGCATTATGCTAAGTGAACTAACTCAGTCCCACAAGGATAAATATTGTATAAGATTGTTATTGTACAATGAGTATAAGCATGCAAGAGGGGTGGAGAGGTTGGAAGCAGAGGGATGAGGATGTGCAGGGGGCAGGGGGCATTAATCATTAATCATGGGGTTGTACAATTTGAGGGTGAGGGGGTGAGGGAAATTGAAAGAATTTGTTTGAATTTGTATTAGAATTTTGTAAATAAACTAGTAAAAAAGAAAAATATAACACACATTTAGAAAGAAAAAAAAATTGTCCTTGGAGGATGAAGACAGCTTAGGATTTTCATGAGTGAAGCACAGAT